AGAATGGATATAATAAAATTCAGATTGATTATTTTCTTTAAAAAAATAGATCATTTATATTATAATGATTGTAAAGTTATTCTAAGAGAAAGTATATGTTCCCAACATCGATTATTAGTTTTAGACTTTAAGACGTAGGGGAAGAAAATTAATAAAAAAAGAAAAACATTATTCTATAATTAGATGGGTGCATTTAAAAAATATTAACAAAAATATTTTTGAGAGTAAGATACAAGATCTTAAAATTTTATCTATGTATAAGGAAGCTAATGTTATGTGTAAAAAAATAGTTAGTGATATTAAAAATATTACAAAAAATGTGCTTAAAGTATCAAAGGAAAAACTTCTAATAGTAAAAATAGTTGGTGGTATAATTAAAATTTGTAAGAAAGAACAAAAAATAAGAAGAATTATTATACATACTATTTTCGATGTAAAAAAAGATATAATTGGAAAAAAATTTAAAGAGGTCCGTAAGGAATCTAAGAAAGCAATGTGTTATGCAAAAATTTTAATTTTTAATGATTTATATAATAAATTAGATACTAAGGAAGGTGAAATATATATATGTATAAGTTAGCCAAACATAGAGATAAGAGTAGTAAGAATTTACTTTGAGTGAATTGTATTAAGGATGATGATTAAAAACTACTTTTATTAGAAGAGGATATTCAACAAAGGTGGATGAGATATTTTTATAACTTCTTTAATGAAGATTATGAGAATGTGATTGACTTTAGTGATCTTAGTACCCTTAAAGAAAATAAAGTTTTTATTTTATTTTATCGGCATATTAATAAAACAGAAGTTAGAGAGGTTTTAAAAAAAATGAAGTGTGGAAAAGCTGTTGGACATGATGATATTCTAATATAGGTATGAAAATGCTTATGAGATGAAGAAATTTTTTGACTAACTAAACTTTTTAAAGTTATTTTGAAGACTAAAAAGATGTCAGATGAGTGGAGAATGAGTGTGTTGATTCTTATTTTTAAGAATAAAGGTGATGCACAAGATTGTGTGAATTATAGAGAGATTAAGTTAATGTGTCATACTTTAAAACTATGTGAGAGAGTTATGGAGCATAGGTTGGCGTGATACTAATGCTTCTCAAAATCAATTTAGATTCATGCCGGGTAGGTTTACTATGAAGCCATACATTTATTGAGAGGTTTGATAGAGAAATATATAGAGAATAAAGAGGATATATATGTGATATTTATTGATTTAGAGAAAGCATATGATAAAGTTCCAAGAGAAGTGCTATGGTGAGTTCTATAAAATAAAGGGGTTAATAATGCTTATATTCAAGTCATTAAGGATATATGTATAGGAGCTATTACTTGTGTTTAGACACAAGGTGGTTTGACCAAGTATTTTCATATTTCAATTGAATTACATCAAGGATCAACCTTAAGCCTATATCTTTTTGCTTTAGTCATGGATGTTCTCAATAGACATTTGAAAGAGGTTATAATGTCACGACCCAATCCGACCAGAACGAATCCCTTAGCGTCGGGCAGCGACAAATGTTGAAAATCCAAGATCTAGTTTTGGAATTTGCTTCAGACTTTCTTCCAAATTTCAGACATACAGAACATAAAACACATAGCTACTATAACTTCCAAATATACAAAACAGTTCATCTATCATTTTCTTCTTTCATCAGAATAATAATGTACAATACAATGCATGGCTACAAACAAAAAGAATAGAACAGAAAGCCATGACTGTACAAAAATCAAAAATACAAAAATACCTAATCAATGATCGGACACTGAACGGCTAATCCAAGACTTCATTCCCTTTCCCAGAACCTGAAAACTACACAAAAAATAAGGATGAGCTAACAGCTCAACAAGACTACACTCACCAATCAAAATCTCTAGAAATTCACATCAGAAATAGTTATTCAAATAGCTGTACAAAAATCGTATAACAGACAGAACATATACTTGATCAAATGAAAATCAAATCACAGATACATGAATTCAAATCAGAGTGCATAATAGATCTTATAAAACTCATGAAATTTTCAAATCATAGAACAGATCGGATCGTGCAAATCAGAATTCAAATCAGATAAAATCACATTTCAGATATCACATATCCCTGACCATGGCAGAATCTCAACGGATTCTGGCCCCTTATGCCTCCCTTCCCTGACACTGACAGAATCTCAACGGATTCTGGCCCTTATGTCTCCCTTTGTGCTCATAGCACCATAACAGAACAAATATACAGAATTTTCAAAACAGAACTTATTTTCAGATTTCTCAGATTTCCCTGACACAGACAGAATCTCAAAGAATTTTGACCCCTTATAACTCCCTTCTGATGCACATCACTTCAGAACATTCAATTCAAAAAAATCAGATTTCGTCAGAAAATCGTCAGCGGCATAACGACAGTATACAGAATTTACACAAAATTCATAGATTCAGAAATTCACCAAATTATCACAGATAGTGCAAACCATCTTTATAAGACTTTCCTTGTACTAAAGTAATAATTTCAGACATCCAGATAAATCGTTATTCGATCAAAACCCCATAGAATTCAAAATACCCGATAAAAATCTTCCAGAAAACTCAAAACCTGCACAAATATCATCTCAGAAACATACCAAAAGTTACGAGGTAAAAAGTTCATCAGTACAAAACGGAATTAATTATTCGCTAACGCAAAGAAAATCTAAAATAGAAAAGTCGTCAAAATCCTCATTTCTGAAAATTGAGAAAGGCGGAATGTGCCTTACCTCGAGTCGGTCAACTTTCTCAACTGCAGCTACGGACGGAAACGGACTGAAGTCGCCCAAAAATCACTTTTTTTTTTCTTTTTCCTTCGGTTTTCTCTCTTCTGGGTTTTTCTCTCTCTTCAAAAGATCTCAATCCCATATATATCCAACCAGATCGTCTCGGACGATCCCAGATCGTCCCGGGACAATTTTTCCTCTGGACAAAATTCATTCAGACACGAACAATAATCATCCCTGGACAGCTTGCTCTCTAGACCAATTTCGTCCAAACGAACCCTACTTCATCCTGGGATGAACCTCCCAGCCAGAAATTTTGTACAAACCTGTACCGATCGTCCCAGGATGATCCAACTTCGTCTTGGACGATCCTGGAAGAAAAACAGCTTTCACATATACCTTGGTGTATGCTTTTTGCTGCTAATATTCTTCTTGTTGATAAGACTAGAGAGGGAGTTGAAGGTAAACTTGAATTATGGAGGTCAACATTAGAGTCTATTAAAACTGAATATATGAAGTGTAATTTTAGTAATAATAGTTCTTGTGGGGGGTGGGGGTTGTGACTTTGGGTGATCAAGTCATTAATAAAAGTACACATTTTAGATATCTTGAGTTTATTATTCAGAGTGATGGTGAAATAAATGGAAATATTATTAGTACCTTCAAGTTGGATGGTTGAAAATGGACGAATGCATCTTGCATGTTGTGTGATAGAAAAGCCCCCCTCAAACTTAAGAGAAATTTCTATAACATGGTGGTTAGAACTGTAATGCTTTATGGTGCTTTATGTTGGTTATTAAAGGAGAAGCATAATATTAAGTTAAGTATTGCAGAGATGAGGATGCTCAAGTGGACGAGCGATTTTACTCTTAGAGATAGGGTATGAAATGGGCATATACATGAAAAGGTTGGAGTAGCTCCAATGACGGCCTTTAGATGACCCAGTTTGAAAAGTAGATGTATTAAATTTGACTTATTTTAAGAAAAGTATAGGTAGACCTAAAAAGACTTGGTTAGCAAGTATTAGAAATGACCTTTCTTTATTAGATTTAAATGAGAATTTAACTTTTAATAGGGCACAATGGAGAAAAAAGATTCATAGTGGGATAAAGGCTTAATGTTGTTGTTGTAGTCTAGTATTATTGTATTTTAGGTTTTAAGAATGCTAGGATGACTAGCATACACATATAATTAAAATTAAATATTAATTAAATCATGTATTTATGAAAAATAGGAAAATTTGAATTGATCGTTATGTACAATTGAGTGTTTTATATATTAAACTATTGAAATTTTCTAGAATCGATCTTTCTATATGGTCATTGGTTGTACAAGATGAAGTGCTCGCCGGTTGTTCGTCGGGGCAGCTCGCGGACTTGAGCAAGGAGAGTGATATTGTGCATGTCTGGGACTTGAGTGAAGAGAGGGAGATTGTGGTGTCGTCGCAGCTCACGGACGCACAACTCTCGAATGACGTAAAAAGAAATAAATGAAAACTCATTCGGCGAACGCACCGAAATAGTGCTTTAACCGGCACATTTTCTAGCGTATTATTCACCGGCTACATAACCAGCGGATATTACACTGGTAATTATTCGTCGAGTTTAAGTAAGCCGGCGCAATATGTGCCGGTAATTCCACCGATCATTACCGGCGGAATATGCGTCAGACACTTAAGAAATGCCGGCGAAAAGCCAACGCAATTTGTGCCGGTATATTTGCGGCGTATAGTGCACCGGAAAATGCACTGTTAAGTTACCGATGCAAGTTTCGCCGGTTCCTGTGTCGGTGTTACTAGCGTAAAATAATCCGCCGGAACATCCGACTGTAATCGCGCCTTTTCCGGTAGTGTGTGCTCTATGGTTATGCTCAAATTTAAATTACATAGATAAGCTAATTTATTAAAATTATAAGATAATGTTGTACTTTAGATTTATGTAGTATTATACAATATATCTTAATAAAAAAAATATAATGACATTATAAATTTGCATTAATTAAGATTATTCAAATTTTGAAGTAATGAAAATGTTTGATGGCCATCATATTATTCAAAATGCTTTATTATTTCAATCAAATGCACATAACCAATTTACATTAATAAAGTTTATTAAAAAATTAAACTAATCATATATATATAACTTTTATTGTATTTTAATAAAATTGATTATAAAAAATTATTTGTCTTATAAATTTTTTTTTGGGAGAAAAGAATAGAAATAAGAACGGTGCTCAGTCGGATGATTACGGTTGCTTAGGCCGACGGGGAGTTCTTCTGTTTCTCCGGCTCAACCTCGGCCTCCACAAGCCATGGCGGGTCGAGAGGTCCTGATGCTTGAGGCGCCGCTGGACCCATCGCGCGAGGGTTGGTCCGTTATCAACCAGAAGGAGTTTATCGATGCATTGCCCTACATAGACGACGACTATGGAGATCCCAGTGTGAAGGCGGAAGTCGACAAGCTCGTCGAGGCCGAAATGCGCAAGAGTTTCAAGAAGCCCGCCGATTTCCTCAAGGATCTCCCTCCTCTTCTCAACTTCGACTTCGAGGTAGGACAATTGCCTATTTGTCTTTCGTTAGTCTAGCTCTGGTGTCAAATAGGTTGCGGAAAGCTTAACAAACTTTAGCTATGCTTGATTTGAAGTGGAAAGGAAATATTATGTTTCACGCAATTACATTTTGACTGTTTGGTTTTGTTGCAATTCACATGAAATTGATTATACCAGGGAAATTAGATCATATGTTTATTTATTTTTCTTGATATTTAGCTTATCCCAGTGAAAGGCTCAAGTAAAATTGAAAGTGTGATCAACATTTGATTGTGTTCATTTTTAAATGTATTGTTCTTAAAACCAAAGCAAAAAGAGAAATTTCTTTTCCGCTCAATTTATCTCTAAATCGAACAAGTGGATTAAAGCTAGTTTCAATCAAATTCCTTTTCATTTCCTCTCTTTCAATTCCTTAAAGCAAACTGAGCCTTAGACTTCCAGCTATAAGTTTGAAGAAAAGAGAATCAAGGCTTTGGATTCCAGGTCTTCTTTATTGCATTGGAGATTTCAGGGCATAATTGCTTCTGCTGCGTGAAAAATTAACTCAGTCAGGAATTTGTGATAGCTGAATTCTGTTCTTGCACAAGAAGCTAAAGGAAAAAAAAAATTATATTATTAGATGAAACAAGTCCAGTAAATGAACATAGGATACAACAACAAATTTTTTTTGTGCCTATATGTCGGAATGTCTATCCTCATGATGTTAGTGTATTACAATTATATGTGAAGGTTATCCCTACGTTGTGTTGTCTTATAATGACATTCTTCGCATGCTGCTTCTCTTGTAAAAAGAAATAGCACATACATCTTTTTAGCATCATATGCATATCATGCATTTGGTTCATATCTTATATTACACATTTGTATTTAAGTACTGTTGCGTCCTGGAGTATTCGCGGCAGTAGAGAAATATAAAGCTAGCGTCTTAGCGTACGAAGATCTAGCACACAAGTATATAAGAGTGAGGGTGTAGCGTTCATAAGAGACACTAGAGTTTTTACGCTGAAACCCCTGAAAAGGGGAAGAAATCATGGGGCCTGGCCCAGTTTGAATGAATCCTCTAGTATTTGCAGTCGATTACAAATGAGGCCCTTCTTAGGGAGAAGGCATTGGCTTGATGTCACAAATGTACATCATATAGAGTGCATTACATGGTGGGAGTTATAATAATCAACATAGATATGCTTATTTGGTCGGCAGGACCATAGTTGATAGGATAGAGGTCCAAAAGACCATAGTAGGCAGGGACTAGGGTTAGAAAGACCATTGTCTGGCAATGTAAGTCGGAAGGACTGTAATATGCAGGAGACCGAGGTCAGAATAATCGTAGCGTTGTCTGATGATGTAGGTCGAAAGGACAATAGTAGGTGATGGAGGTCGGAAGGATCATAGTCGGCAAGAGACAGGGGTCCAAAAGACCGTAGTTGGCCGGAGATCGGGGTCAGAAAGACCGTTGTAGTAGGGCGGTACTCCGATAGAACTCTGGGCATCAGGTGGTGGCTCGACAAAGTCCGGGCCTCAAGTGGTGGTCCGACAGAAGTCTGGGCCTCAGGTGATGGTCTGATAGAAGTCCGGGCGTCAGGTGATGGTCATGCAGAAGTCTGGGCCTCAGGTGGTGGTTCGGTAGAAGTCCGGGCCTCAGGTGGTGGTCCAGCAGAAGCTCGGGCCTCAGGTGGTTGTCTGGCAAAAGTCCGGGCCTCAGGTGGTGGTCCGGCGGAACTCTAGGCTGTGGTCGAGTAGGAGCGATGAGGTAAGAGCGATCTCCGATCTCTCTCTTGCTCTCTTGCTTGGAACCCCCCTTTCAAGAAGGAGGAGGGGGTCTATTTATAGATTTCCTAGAGTGGCATGTCTCATAAATAAGTGAGATATAAAGGGCATATGGGGAGTGGCTTGGATGGACGGCCGATGTTGAATCCCTTGATTGTTGACCATTTGATGGACATTTGAACGTCTTAGTGATGTCAGAATTCAGTGATCTTGGGCTCGTTGGATTCGTCTCGTCAAGCCGCTCGATTCGACTATATGCACATCATGTTTGGTAATCCAAATTGTGGTTCAAACCCTCTAACAGTGCTTCAGACCTTTGACTTGGACCCATTTGGGCTCAGATTGAGTCGAATTTGGTGTCGTTGGGTTTGTATTTCCGAGACATTCAGTTCGACTATAAGTTTGCTGAAATCTGAGTTCGGATGGTCCCAATTTTATTTAGGAAGTTTCCAACTTGATTTTGCCTCGAGATTCGTGCCCGATCAAGATAATTTTTTAAGGATGTATCAAGTACCTTATAGGATTTGATTGAGCGACAAAGACCATAAGAGAGTTAGAGAAAACACTGTAACATTATAAGCAAGTAATAGATGTGTTTTCTTTAAAAAAATCATGAACATATTCTTTAATATCATTCGTATATGCAAAACTTTACAATCCTACGGCATTATATGATTAAACTGTGCAGAAAGTAACATTCAAGTTACATGAAATATTGTTACTCTATAAAAATTTAATAGAGTGAATATTCTTAAAAGGAGATTTTTTTCCTGTGGTAAAACCGAAGATAAAGTAGAGGGGGTGGGTTGAGTCACCACATTTCTTACTTGTGCTTTAATTATTTCTTTCAAAGGTAAATGCCAGACACCTTTTTTATTATGCTCGTCATTTGATGAGTGTATATGAGGCATATTAGCGTACGACCTGGACACATTACTTCTAGAATTCTCCATTCTTTCTAGATTGATGCATTGTCTTAATTAAAATTATTAGGCGTTTCATTTAAATTATTACAACCTTGCTTGTTTTAATACTTGTAAATATAAGTTTAGATTGAGCTTTGCACTAATATATTTCAGTTCAAACATTATAATATTATTAATGGCTTTCCAGAATCACCCCATGCTTGCTAGAGAGTATGACCGTGTAAGAGCTGGCAAGCCTCCTGCAACTTTGGAGATGTCACGTTATGGTTTAGAGCCACCTCCATTGAATAAACGTAATGATGTGACTGCTTGGAGGCAAGTTGTACGAAATGGTGAAAGTCTAGTGCAACATCAAATCCTACGGTGAGCTACTGAGCTTTTTCTATAGAGCTTTTAAATGATTATTGATTCTTATAATGCTGTCCTCATGGTTGTCATTTCTGTGAATTTTCTGACGCAAGTTAGTTGTGTACTTGTTGAAAGGATTGCACACTCTTTTGAACGTAGCTTTGTTTCTTGGATGACCATGGTTTGGTTAGATTTTGTCTGCTTAAGTCTTTGTTATTTTTTATGAGGACATCGTTTAGAGATTCAGACATGTGCACCGGCGATAGAATCGTAGATCAATGGCTACAATTCAGAGTCTTTACTTTTGATGCATTTTATGTTTTATTTAGTTTGCATTTCAGTTTTCCTAGTTTATCCATATGGGGAGTGTTTTCTTATTGTAGCCCAGAAGGCATTTGAGCACTTTTTTTTTTCTTTATGTTTGAGACCTATATATAGTGGTTTTATGTTTTGTATAAAGGGAATGAATGATTAAATGAAAATTTGATTTTTTCTTCTTCTTCTTGTGTGTGCACTAGAGAGAAGAGAGAGCCCGACGTGCGGGCAAGCGTGATACCCACCAATTATTGAAAGAGTCTGTGGCTCGTGGTTTATCTTCCTTTCTCTTTTCTTCGTCATCATCTGCCGGTTTTTCCTTTCCCTTCCACCGCCGGCCTACCTTCAAACTCCCTCCCCTAGACCCAATTTAATTCCAACTCCCAAAACCCCACCCGTCGGCTCAACCCCTTTACCCACCCCCAACCCGACGCCAACCCTTCCCTTTTTCCCTTGCCGCCGGCCACACCCTTACTCCACGTCATTATGGTGATTCCAATCATCTTAATGACTCCTTAAATTGGCTTAAGAAAGAAAGGAAGGTGTTAAAATTATTTGAAATTCAAATTTGAATTTTAAAAAACTTTCCATATTTACAAATTCTAAATAAGGAAACTTTTCAAATTTAAATCCAATCTAAATTTAATTTAGAGAGGATTTATTATTCTCCTTCCTAGTTTGCAAAGGCTTGTTTTGAAGTTTATAAAACCTTCCCAATCCTCTCCCTCCTCTCGTAATGCCGTCGGCCCCCTATTAATGGGCTTCCCCATTGTTTTCCTATTGAGGCCCTAAACCTTAATTGAATTTGAATTCAATTTTCAAATTCAATTCCCTCCAAATTTATTTAAATCTGAAACTAATTTCAGATTTAATAAAACCCTCTCTCCCAACCCTAACCTAACTTAGATCCCACTTAACCAAGTCGTCCCCCTTTCTCTCCTTGGCCGCCCCTTCCACTTACCTTTTCTCCCTTGGAAACCCTAAACCTCTCATGTCTTTTGAAGTCAAGAGAAAAAGATAAGCTCCTTCCTCCCTTATACTATTGGTGTATGGCTGACCCTGAGGTCGACCACGGTTTTGCTCACAACGCTCAAGGAGCAATCGATATCTTGCTCTCTCCTTTCTACGATTCGGATTGGGATTACGAAGACTCTGTGGAAAGCTACGTCAACCACATTCTTTATTGCCTCGCCGAGACGACTGAAGATCAACGACCTAAGGAACTTTGGCAACTCGTCGACCGATCAACAACCACTCCTCCTTCGGCTACTTCTCCGACGAACAAGACCTTACGTGCCACTTGTCTTGTAGTGGCATCATTAGGGTTGCTTTTACTATTCCTTCGCTAAACCCAACTTCAAGAGCAAGTGAGAAAGAACTCTTGTTGAACACTTCTTGATGTTACGCCTTGGAT